TCCCAGAGGCTAAAACAAAAACACAATACATAAAATTATGAAAACCGAAACCATGTGCTGCACTGAGGCAAGATGTTCCCTCTCTGCCCCAATCCTGTCATTCCTCGGGAGCCTCTGAAGGCAGCATCCAAAGGTGCCAAGAAGGCAGCTGATTAGACCGGGGAGTGAACCCACTTCCTGCATAAACCACTGAAGTTCATCTGAGACTTATAGGGAAATTTTATTATGAGTGATGTCAAAGTAAAATAATCTGAAGTGGAGATGCTGACCATGAGTAACAAAAATAAATCTGAGTTGCAGTGGGAACACAAAGAAATGCCTCAGCCTGCTGCTCTGAGGAGAAGCCTGTCCGAGATGCATTTTTCTCACCACTGGGAAAGGCAATGATAAAAAATTTAAAACGGTGAGCGAAAGAGAGACAAAGAAAAATGTAAGAATAAACAGAATAGGGGGAGGGAGGGCTTTAAAGAGAAAGAAAGACTGAAGGAGAGAGGGACGTTATATAGGAAACTGAATAGAACTTCTAAAGGAAAAGAGAATGAGAGACAGGAGGAAAGGAAAAGGGAGTACAAGACAGGAAAGTGAGGTCACCTAACATACTCTCACCTCTCCTAGTGAAATAAAATCAAAGGGATATTCTGCTTTGAGCCGATGTGTGTGTGAAAGTAAGACCAAATATGCACACACACACATACACTAGCCGCTGCAAACAATTGAAGATTAATGGTCTGCGTTTACCGTGATTAGGGTGATGTTAAGCTCTTTTAGCCTGGGTCTGCCTTGCAGCCAATCCTCGAGCCAAGATGGCACGCCATATTATTACACTCGGAGTGGAGGAAATGATGAGACTGGCACTGTAATACAGAGGACTATTTCCTACCGTCTGTCACGTTGTCTGTCTATCCATCTACATTATCTGTATGTGTGGAATGAACAGGACTTGCGGGTAGATTTAAAAAAAAAAAAATCATTCAAAAATGAAAAAGTCAAATAAATCACTCCTCTTATCTCAAGTGCTTCATTCATTCATGGAAGAGGAACAAGCTAAAGGCAAGCAGTCATCCTTAAATTAACTACATTAAAACCCCTCCTGCCAGGGGTAACCAGTAAGAGCATTTATTTCCTCCGTCTCTCTGAAAACCTGAAACATGTTTTCTCTCCGTTTTCTGTGGTAGCTACTATGCATTGGACAGTAAAATCTGAACACCTCGTCATTTTAACGAAGATATATATGTTTTTCCTGGCCTTCGACGTATGAGGACATACATAACGAAAACTTGACGACGTACTGTACCTACATTTACAGCTGCACTAATCAATACTTTATTATAAATGGGTCAAATGAGTATGTGTAATGTCAAAGGGTTGCTCGTAGTGATAAATCCACAGATTATTATATTACCCAGCACGTTTTATCTGTCTGTCTTCTACCTTTAAGCTAAATTCTTTTGTTTTGCTGCCCATAACTTGGCTGCTTTGGTTTACTCTTACTGCTGCCATCAGCCCTGTTTTCAGCAGGAGGAGGCAGCTGTTATTTGCAAAAAGAAGTTCTGATGAACCCACCATATACACCAAACTGCAGACAGACAAAGTTAGCAACAAGCAAGTAAACAAAGTGGAGCATTAAGCAGCTTAAAGGACGGTGTGTGTAGGATATTGTGTATTTCCAACCAACTTGCCTCCCTCAGTGTTCTGTCTAAAGAGAGAGGGAGTAGTTAGGTTTGGACAGATTGTAAAGCTCAGCTATAAAAACTATATGCTATATAAAGTGATTTGATGTGAATACTCTGTATATGTTTTTCATTATACTATGCTATACTATTCTACACTACTCTATAGGCATGCAACCTTGTTTGGATTCATCCATATTTTATCATTGAGCTTACTAGTTGTGGGGGGTTGTGTCTCCTCTGTACAACATTATGAACCATTAACTACAACACAGCACAACAAAACTACTTATGCAATTAAAGTTCCTCACGTGTTAAAAGTGGTACATGTATGATTTTTTTCAGGCCATGGAGGGACAAGAGGTGACCTCTGCCCCATCAAGTATTACTCTATTGTTGTATATATTTCCTGTAAACACTGCTCTTTCCATCATGGAGGTAAAGCTCTGTTGATCAGGGATAAACACATGACCCTTACAGATTGAAGTTTTGCTTTGTTAACCCAGGTAAAACAGCGCCTTCCTGTTCGTGCTAGAAGGGTCCAGCATTTACATATGCCACCAAATCTTGGATTGCACAGCATTAAATGCAGTGTACTGGCAAATAAAGGCTGCCAATCTTCCCAGTGACTCATTTCTTTACGATGCTTTTACTAAGATTAACATGACAGTGATTTATTTGTGTTACTATGATATAAGTAAAACCTTTAACGGAGGTGACATATGTGTCAGTCAGGCAGGGTTAGTGGTTTGTGTCCCACTGTGCACACCCATGGTTACAATGTACAATACATTATATTTTGGTTGTCAATTCTGTGCGTGAGAGCAGCTGGTCTTTACATGAAATGACAGTACAGGCAAGTCAATACGGTTTGCAGGATTCTTGTTTATGTTATTATATCATCTGTGATGAACCTGACAACAACTGACATGTAACTGACATGTATTGTAATGTAGCAGTACACCCACATATTGACTTAAAGACTAGAATTGAAAGTAGGGTCATACACATCAACTAAACAGCATAACAACAATTAACCTATGATGGATGGTGAGTTTACAGACAACACATCAATTTGCATATTGATTTCTAACAAGAAATCTTTCTTGGGGGTTGACACTATTAGCTTATTAGCTATTGAATGATGGTCACAGTATCACCTATCGGCAATATCTGCCTTGAATAAATACATACGGTATACTATTCACTATGTGATATACAGTGGTTTTAGCTGTCATTTTTAAATGAAAAAAATGAAAAAAATAGATTTGAATAACATTTGGATCAATAATTTAAAAATCAGTTAAAACTAGATTAGAAAAATTGCATTCAGGTCAAGAGACGGGCTGATCTGCAGCTAAATGAGCAGCTCTTTTGAATTTCCTCAGATTTTTTTTTCCATTCACTTTATGTTAGAAGAGGCATTACCTGACCTGTACTTGTGATGAGTGGTTCCTGTTTACTGTAAACTATAGTGAACAGGTTCCCTTTTGCAAAAAAAACCAGAAAGACTTTTTGGTGTGTGGGAACATAAAATCTGGATGAAAAACTTAAAACTGATCTTGTTCTTGAAAAAAATAAATCTATGGCTTTTTGGGTAGGTATCTGTAAAGTTTTAGCTTTATATTCTGATTATTACAGTGTTATTCAGTCTTACATATGCAAAAAGGTTTGCTTAAATGGCTTCTTCCCATCCCAGCCTCCTCTCAGCCACTGACCACTAACTTATTTACAACACAGTGACCCAGCAGTTGCTACACTGTAGCAGCTACATGTCTGGAGAAGGTGCCTGTGCCTGTGTGTGTGTGCGTGTGGTATGTTCAGGAGAGCTATTATGCTCTCCTGAACCAGGTTAAGAACAGGCCTAATCACTGATTTATGCAGACCCACTGAGAGGCGGTCTGGCGTCAAATAAGGAAAAAGGTACTTTTTTTTTATTTTTTTAATCTTTTTTTTAATATTTGCATTTGTTGTATTGTGATGCCTAAAATGAAGCCTCGCCATTGCATCACCACAAGGTCTTATATCCCATCAATAACCAACTGCACCACTGCTGGAAGGTAAATAAAGCAGTAAAGACTTCTGGCTGCGTTTCAGTTTTATATAGTCATAAATAAATATTTCATTCAGCTACAGTTTTTCTGTGTCATGCCCATAAAGCCCTGACTGAAGTCAGCTGGAAAAAAGATTGCCTGGAAAGCCCTGATGGTACCTGCCTGATGTGCCAAGCGCTCCTCACAAGACGAAGCGTTTGTAGTGTCACATCGGGAGAATGAAAAGCCGCTGTCTGCTGCCTCCTCTAATATTATCTGTGCCAGGTTTACAGAAGCAGTTAACTGATGTGTGAAGCCCTGCTACTGTTTCATTTCCTTTTTATAATATTTAAAGAAAATAAGCCTTTTGTCCCCCGGATTTCACGTTTACGGCTTAAAATCCGAAAAACGATGCTGAATTGAACCCATTCAAACTCAACCACGAGGTCCGGAGTCAGATTTCTCTCCAACCTGCTCCGGACTGATGTGCAAAATCACTCCATCGGCCCCAACAGCACGGCACTGTTTGGCGCAAAGGATGTGGGACGTGCAGAACTGCGCAAATGTGGATCTTAATGCGCCTTTAAGCGACTGGATAATTCATCCTCATTCATCCTCACCCAGGATTACCATCTCTAAGGGGAAATTTAGCCTGGACTTCACATGTTTGTCACCCAACTTCCACAGTGAAAGCCTATAAAGGGTGCGAGCGTGGTTATCTGAACGTGCTCTGCATCCGTAATTATTATTCCTCTAGAAATAAGAGAGGCCGGCTGTCGGACTTAAACATGGGAGGAAGGGAGAGGGCAGGGAAGCAGGGTGGGAGTGAAGGGCAAAAAAGAAAAGAAAAAAAAACAGCCCCTGAGGCGACAGAAAGGAGCCTCCGAATTCTTAACCGGTGTCTAATTTTTTAATGAAAAAAAAAAAAAGAGAAACACCTTCCACCGCACCCACTGATTTCTAAACCAGCTGTCCTCTCTCTGTGAATCTCTGAATCAGAGGAGGACAGGCGCAGTGTTGAAAGCGTGGTGCGGGAGGATGAGGAAACATCGTCTCCACATCGCATCCAAACCCTTCCGACGCATGGCGCTTTAAAAGTCCAGGTCTCCATGAGGCGACACTGTCCCCCTTTGCATCCCATTCACTCCATCTCCCTCCCTCCCAAAAAAAAAAAAAAAAACTTGCTTTCCCCTAGACAATGCGGCGAAATAGAGGCAAAGACCCCCAGCATTCATCACCATTAACTGATTAATTATCCCCGCGGAAAACGCACCCAGAAAACTGCACAATGTCCTACCTTTTTATCCAGAGAGTGTCCAACAGTCCGGAGAAGACAGCCAGTAGTAAAAGCAACACTATAGCTCTACTAATAATAGTAGCAGTACAAGGAGTGAGAGGAGGAGGAGTAGTAGTAGAGGTAACCAGTAGTGGGGAATGGTAATGGAGACGCAGGGAGCTCTTATACGCTAGCCAAGGCGGCGTATCCACCGACCGAGACGCACAAAAAGCAGGGGAGAGGAGTCCGGATTCCCATGCACACACAGCTTTTTATTTGTTGCTGTTGTTTTCTGATGTTGCCTACTCCTCGTTTCCATGCAGCGCGACCTGTATGATCGGATGACCGGAGCGGCGCTTTATCAGCAAACCCTCATTTGTTGGGACGAGGCGCGCAGCACGGTGGACTTCTTCCTCATTCTTCCCTTCCAGTCCCCTCTCGCTCCGAGAGAAAGAGAGAGAGTGGGGAGAGAGAGAGAGAGAGAGAGAGAGAGAGAGAGAGAGAGAGAGCGAGGAAGGGGGTGAGCGAGAAGTGTATGAGAGTGAGATTGTGAGAGTGTGTGTGAGTGTCTGTGTGTGAGCAGGTCTCTACTTCGTCTGTTCCCTCACGCAGGATCAGCTCGCCCTCCTCCTCCTCCTTCTCTGTCTGTGCTGGGTGTGCGCGCGCGTTTCTTTCACTTCGCGTTTCTCTGCCGTTGTGTGTGTGTGTGTGTGTGTCTATGCATGCACATATATCTTCCTCTCTCTTACACACACACACACATTCTCGCACCCGCTCTCTCTCTCTCTCTCTCGCTCGCTTTTACTCACATACTCGCTTTACCCACCCTTTCGGGTTAATATCAATATCCCATTGAAAATAAATAGTGAGCGCAGAAACATGCCACATCAGGCTCACCCTTTCTATGGATCTCTCTCTCTCTCTCTCTCTCTCTCTCTCTCTCTCACCAGCCTCCATAACGGAAGGCCTACAAGTTGAATGATGTTTCAAAGCCAACGTGTTATTTACCGCGTTCTCTTATTTTCAATGTCCATAAAAATAAATGCGTGTTCCTGATTGGCTGACAGGTGTCCATTAAGATCTTCCCTCCATACAAAACCACGATTCTGAATCATGACGTTTGACCTTGTAAAAATAAATGATTATCTAGGTTATAATAAAACTTTGATTGGTGTGATCGGATGTTAAACTGCTAAACAATCTGGCAAGGCTGAGCTCCACTGTTGGTCTTTAGAAATGGAGAAACTGTATAAAAGAGTACTAAACAAAGAGGGAGTGGCACAAAGTAAACTCACTATGACATAACTCTATGACCTATAGGAAATACTGACACTCCTTTATTAAACCTCAGCAAGAGGAACTGCTTTTTAAAAATAGTGAAATGAGGAAGAATACAGTTGACAACATATATGAACGTATAAGACTGGACTCACTACAACAACAGTTAACTACTGCTTAGCAGCCATATAAGTGCAACCTATGGCTAGGCAAATAGTAACTTAAAACCATGAGCAGTATTTAATTTTGTTACACTTTTAAAAAGGCCACCATAGTTCTGACCTGATAGGCAGTGACGGACACACAGCCTTCAAATTGATACTTTACAAAACTGCTGCAGGAAACTCAAATATTTTTGAGTCAGTCAAGACATCGCTGTGGTCTGTTGTTAAATGTGCATTTTAGGCCAATAGGGGGCACAATACACTGTTTAAAGTATATTTTCTTTGTAGAACGAAAGTTAAGGACATCTACAATTTATGTATATGATGACTACAATCACTATCATACATTTTTTAGTTGGTGCCATGAATCACTTTATTGTTAAAATATTTTAGATGCTTTAATTTGTGCACTAGTCAAAAAAGTATGATGCACCTTCATGTTTATATTATGTAAGAGTACTTTTACTCAAAAACAGCAAACCTACAGACATGAACGAAGTGAACAAATCTTTATCAGTACATTTTCAAAGTGAACTGACAACACCGGTCGAATTCCAGGTACCCGAAGGTCCCCTCTACGCTCTCTCTGAAATTGCAAAAATTTAATTTAAGTTATAAAAAATAAGTCGAAACTCCTCTTACTCCCACAGTGCTTGTATACTATAATATTTACCTGTAAACGCTATGCAATTCAAATGCTATTGGTTTCATACTCAGGCTTCAATGAATACTAAAAAATGTCACATAACACTACCTAACAATCATTAATAAGCCAGCCTCCAGACTTCAGAGCCTAAATCCAGAGAGCTAACCTAACCATGGTATCTTACCAATTACAGTCATGATTTTTCACAAGCACACTAACCTAATAATAACCTCTTATTGGTAATCATAATAAAGTTCCAGAGCGACAGAGATGCAGAGCGTCCCCGTTACTATAGTAACTCACTCACTCCTGCCTGCACACGATGCGAGAGGAGAGGGGAGAGACACTCACTGGTCTGTCAGCTAAGACAGTGAGAAAAGCCCCGTTATCTCCAGCAACAACTTATCCAACTGCCTAATTACATGAAGGGTTCAACTGCAGGTGTGCTAACGTTAGCTGCAACTGCTGCAGGGGAAAAACACAGCAACAATACACTCTTCAGCTTTTGCATTTATTTTGTGTTTTCTCAGGTCAGACGTCTTGCCCTGGCCAGCATTGCATTAAGCATTACACAGTCTGCGTGCCCTCACTGTGACTTGAACAAACTGCAGGCTCTCTCTCTCTCTATTCTCTACCACACTCTCTTACCCATATACACTCCCAGGTACCAAAATTTGGCACCAATTGATTTAACCCAACCCTACTGGCCCCTACTGGCCCCCTCAATATCACTGGCCGTCCAAGCGTTAGAAACTATGGTGGCAATGAAACTCAGAAAACATATGAAAGGCCTTATCTACAGCCAATGTATGGTTTGTCCCTTCTGGGCTACTGTAGAAACATGGCGGTTAAACATGGCAGACCCCATAGAAGAGAACCTGCTCCCTCTTTAGATAAAAAGGTCTCCATCTAAGGTAACAAAACACAACAATTCTTATTTTGAGGTGATTATACACTAGTTAAAACATACCTATGAATATTATATTTTATGTCTGCCAATAGATCATCTTAAACACTAGACCTTTAAAAGACAGCAAAACCCACAGAAACAGGTAGATTTTCTCGCTGTCAGCCAGTGTTACAGGACGGCCGGTGCCAGCTTACCATTGCTTGCTTACTTGTTAATGCAATCACTAGCAAAATACTATTTTAGTTGGCTAGATTGCCAAATTACTTTAGCAGTTAACATGATCCATGATACTAACTCATGCATTATGGCAAACAGTGTTGCAGTTTTGCAATACATTATCTATTGGTACAAAACAATGGTGTATCAACTTAATATTTCTTTCCACTTGCCAGAGTGATGCAAGACAGGAGTGACCAACTAGCTTCCTGTAGTAAACTAGCTGTGGCTTGGCTGCGTGGTGTGGGTCTGGCGTTGGTTGCTTTGTGACTTGAAACATTACAGACATAGTAACATCATTCTATTTTGATTGTAATTTATTTGACAGTAGTGTTGATTTCAGCTTTTAGTCTGGTGTATGTCATGTCACTGTTTTGGCCGATACCTACGTTGGTGTGAGCGCTGCAGTTAACGCCACTGCAGAACTGTCTCTTTCTGCCACCATTTAGGCTCCGTCCACAAAATGTGTCATCACTGTTACAAACACAAAAATGGTCTATAGTTGGAAACTGGCAGACAGCCAGACCAGGCAAATATACTAATAGGTTGGGAGACAGAGGGAAGGTTGCCCGATTTAGAAGCAGAGGCCAAAATAGCTGTCAGAAGGGTAGAGGTAAGCAGAAAAAAAGAAACAACTGGAGGTCCGGCAGCAGAGAATCAGATAAGGTGGCTGAGGAAGTGAACAGTTGGTTAATGAGGTTAGAAAGAATGATCTAACAAATGGGGAAACGGCAGACTGAATGACTGCTGGTGTGGCTAGGCAGCAGAGGAGACTATATGGAGGGCCCTTGAAAACAAGAGCAACACTCTTGGACCTACAGGAGCCATTAGTTGATATTCCTGGAACCTCCCACAATTGGCAGGAACAGGAAAACCACTGGGAATAAGACACACAAGGGTTTTATAAGGACCAGGGAACAAGATGGCAGTGGCTGTAAGGATATAGGGTTAAAGCTAGCTGAGGGAGATGCAACACACTTGACGACCAGTTATGTCTCTTTTCCAGACATTTGTTCAGTGCTCATGAGTCACTATTATTTCTAAAAGCGCTGTTGTCTAGGAGGTGTCTACCAATAAATACAAGTCTCTCTAGATCTGACAACCAATAATAAATTAGATGGACAGATGAAAATTTCATTTTTTTTAATACTGGGAAATTGGAGAGCATTTAGATATAGACTTTTAGAGAGCCCAGTTAATCTTGTGGTATGCCAAGGTTATCTACTACATACAACTCTTCTCCCTTTGATGGTTGGCTTCCATGTTTCATCTTTCCATTCATGTGTAAATAATATTTCAAAGCAGTTGATTGGCAAGTCTTTTTCATGACTGCAGTTTTTATCCTAGTTAATATTATGCTTCCACTGAATGATAATATTGTACTTTAATTGAACTGGCTTCATTTCTGTCATGGTAATAAAGCATATTTCAATAAAACTGGATTGACATAGAGAGTGAGAGAGAGAGAGAGAGAGAATGAGAAAGCTTTCTGCAGATGTAAAGTTGATACAGGGAAGTAAGAGCTTCAGCCCATTCATTCATAATTCAGAGGGGCTGCACCCCGGGGGTGCTTTCTTGGAGCACAGCCATTCTCATACCTGTCAATCAAACAATCCTTCTAACACTATAGAACCTCAGCAAGAGCTATGCAGGTGACATAAGCTAAATATATGTAGATTGAAATTGAGTGGGGTGATGCAACTGGAATACAGGTCCAACCTAAATTAAAGGGGAAATCCACATTTATCTGTTTTGCTGTGTCATGTTCTACATACATAAAATCATTTTCTAGCCCCACAGTAAAAGTCCTGTTTATGCAGCTGTTTTACAAAGAAACATTATAAAGTCCAAGTATTTTTTAAATCATCATTTGATGTTTTGCTTAAGTGTTTTAAAATGAATTTGTCTTTCACTTGGTAATAGTGGCTTTGTGAGTACAGGCTGAGAAACATGCTGCATCTCTGCAGGGATGCATTTTATTAGACTGTCACCATGATTATGATAATGGTAGACTGCTGTTTTGAAATAGGATAATTTACATTTTAGTATAATTTGGTTGTGGCAGTGTAAAATACGGGTAAGACCTTCTGCTAAAGATGGCAATTTATCATGCTGTTAGAAAGAGAGAATATACTTGCATGCACAAGTACATCCACACAAAAATATACAATATACATTCTATTCTATTCATATTCTAATACAATAAGAATATGGAAGTAATAAGCAGAAGCCCACATTCTTTTTCTCAAGTCTTGCCCTCTTGCCAACAACCACGCACTCACTCACACCTATGTTTAGACAAGCACACGTTTAATTTCTAACATCACAGTGGTGCACAGTGATGCATAAAGAGCC